GCAGCATTAATGATGGAAAATAAAAATGAATAAATTTCATGCTCAGATCTGAAAATCTTTGTTATATACATTTTGTAATTGATTGTTTATTTCATTGATTTTTGGAATGTATGATTTTTTAAGTCACACATGAACCCTAATAATGTTCAGTCAGCTGATAACCTCCCGTTGTTGGGCATTGAAATTGCCCAACGACCAGTCAATTTGCCCAGCGACCAATGGGTTCCATAGCAAACATTGACTTTTTCTTTCAATCCATGACTTCTATGGTCCCCACTGACCCCTCATAGCGAGTGCCGACTTTGCCCAACACTCATAACCCCCCGTTGTTGGGCACTGAAATTGCCCAACGACCAGTCAATTTGCCCAGCGACCAATGGGTTCCATAGCAAACATTGACCTTTTCTTTCAATCCATGACTTCTATGGTCCCCACTGACCCCTCATAGCGAGTGCCGACTTTGCCCAACACTCATAACCCCCCGTTGTTGGGCACTGAAATTGCCCAACGACCAGTCAATTTGCCCAGCGACCAATGGGTTCCATAGCAAACATTGACTTTTTCTTTCAATCCATGACTTCTATGGTCCCCACTGACCCCTCATAGCGAGTGCCGACTTTGCCCAACACTCATAACCCCCCGTTGTTGGGCACTGAAATTGCCCAACGACCAGTCAATTTGCCCAGCGACCAATGCGTTCCATAGCAAACATTGACTTTTTCTTTCAGTCCATGACTTCTATGGTCCCCACTGACCCCTCATAGCGAGTGCCGACTTTGCCCAACACTCATAACCCCCCGTTGTTGGGCACTGAAATTGCCCAACGACCAGTCAATTTGCCCAGCGACCAATGGGTTCCATAGCAAACATTGACTTTTTCTTTCAATCCATGACTTCTATGGTCCCCACTGACCCCTCATAGCGAGTGCCGACTTTGCCCAACACTCATAACCCCCCGTTGTTGGGCACTGAAATTGCCCAACGACCAGTCAATTTGCCCAGCGACCAATGGGTTCCATAGCAAACATTGACTTTTTCTTTCAATCCATGACTTCTATGGTCCCCACTGACCCCTCATAGCGAGTGCCGACTTTGCCCAACACTCATAACCCCCCGTTGTTGGGCACTGAAATTGCCCAACGACCAGTCAATTTGCCCAGCGACCAATGGGTTCCATAGCAAACATTGACTTTTTCTTTCGATCAATGACTTCTATGGTCCCCACTGACCCCTCATAGCGACCGCCGACTTTGCCCAACAGCCAAAACCCCCCGTTGTTGGGCACTGAAATTGCCCAACGACCAGTCAATTTGCCCAGCGACCAATGGGTTCCATAGCAAACATTGACTTTTTCTTTCAATCATTGACTTCTATGGTCCCCACTGACCCCTCATAGCGACCTGTCTATAACTTCTTCATAGATCAAGGAATTTTGAAAAAACTTGGCACAAATAGTCACAATGAAAAGATAATATGTCATGCATAACACATGTGTCCCGACCTCCAAGGTGAAGGTCACACATAGAGGTCAAAGATTTACATAGTCTGATATAGGGTATATTTTGTGTCCAGTCCATAACCTGGGATTTTAAAAATACTTTGCACAAATAATCACAATGATAAGATAATATGTCAGGCGCAAAACATGGGTCCCTACCTCCAAGGTCACACTTAGAGGTCAAAGATTGACCTAGTGTGTTATAGGGTATATTTTGTGTCCGATCTATAACTTCTACATAGTTCAAGGGATTTTGAAAATACTTGGCACAAATAGTAATATTAATAAGACGATATGTCATGCACAACACCTGCACCCCTACCTCCAGGTCAAGGTCACACTTAGAGGTCAAAGGTTAACATGATAGAATTTTAAATTCCGTGTTTCATTTTACTAGTATTTCTTTAATAAATTTATTGTTGCATTTGCAGATCTAGTATTGATCATAATTTTGGACTGAAAGTCCTGAAATCCATAACTATAAATCTTTTGAAATAGCACAATTTTATGCTTCATATAAATCTTCCCCGAGGCGGGGGAATTTGGTAACTCTGTTACAAATTCTTGTTAAATCTAAAACTGAATCTAACATATCATTAGATGACTGGTATAATCATTTTAGAGATTTGTTTTCTAGTACTTATACAAATCAGAATAATGAAACCGGTTCAGAACATGTAGATTTAAACACACATTTTGATGAAATTGAGCAGTTAATTATAAATATTTAATTCTGATATATCTGATGAAGAGATACTGATAAGTATCAAATCACTTAAACTTAATAAAGCTTCGGGTGGTAATTTTTTGCCGCAGCAACTTGCTTACGGTATTCAATATTTATTACCGTATATTCGTAAATTATTCAATAGACTTTTTACGAAAGGTAAATTTCCAACTAGTTGGGCAACTTCAATTATTATTCCTTTACATAAGAAAAGAAGTTTAAATGACCCCAATAGTTATAAGAACATTGCACTTTTTTGATGTACTTATAATATGTAAATTTTGATTGGTGTGTGTGTGTGTGTGTGTGTGTGCGTGTGTGCGTGCGTGTGTGCGTGCGTGCGTGCGTGCGTGCGTGCGTGCGTGCGTGTGTGTGTTTGTGTTTGTTTACCCTCGCCACCGGAAAGAGACCATATGGGCGAGCATATACTTCATTTATAACTTTTTTTAAAAAAAGGGGGAGCCGTACATGTGTTAATGTGCATACCATATCCCCCGTGACAGGGTAGTCTCTACGTACAACCTCTGCCATGGGAGGAAGATTGGGCAATCCCATACTTAGTTTGAGAAATCTAAAATTTAATAATTAAAAGCACTTAATTATAATCGGCCAAGACGTTTAAATATAAGTTACCGTCTTTTATAACAGGACTAATTAATATTTAATATAACTAAATTTTTTTAGAAATTTACCTATATTTGTAGAGTTCGCATACTTATGTGCGAGAATGGCCGAAAAATGATGTGATTTGTAAGGCTAATTAAAAAGAAATGATAAGAAATGATTGGTTGATAGTAAACAGATTTCATTGGCGCATTTACTATCCGATTTTGGAGCTTAGCTTGAAGAATTTTGTTATCTAAACCACATGGTCTCTGTGTTGACATTTCTGCACTGTCTCCAATATAATGCTAAAAATGGTAACAACGGTGTCTGTTGGAGACCAACCACGACACCGCTGTTTAATTATTTAAAAATAAGGAGGGGGATAGTACTGATATAGTTGGAACATGATCATATAAGAATAACAATGATATTCAGTAATTATATTGTTATTCTAGACTCTCTATAGACCTATACAAAAAGAATATAGAGAGATAGAAAATTTATACCTTGGAATGTATTAATAAATTACTTGGTTACCTACAATGTGATGAGTACTGCTTTTCAAAGAGAGAGAAGCTGCCTCATATTTGTTCTACTCAATGAATTAACGTATGCTCCATTTTTGTCATTGAGTAGATCACAGTATAAACTGTTTTATATAATAAATGTTTATATGGGTACAATCTGATAAGGAGTCTTTGCTAACATTAAGGTTGTCTTTGAGAAAAAAAAAACAGCATTATAATCCATAAGGATTGGTTATGCTAGTTTTGAAATAGAATAAGACATCCTTAATGTGATGAAGTCCTCTTACTAACAAATAAAAGAGGTCTTCATACTTGATTGAGCCCTATATAGCCTTTGCTCCATATTATTGAATAGAGCTCAATTTTAACATATAGAATGTTATAGATTGTACCCTATATAAGAATGAATAAAAATTAAGAGAATATATTATATATTTACAAACAGACCAGCTGTTTATTATTTACATGAAGGGATAAAAAATATAGATAAGAGGTAAAAAATGGAGTCTTTATGTGACATTGTAGGTATCATGTAGCCACAACCCTATTTTGATTGATCATGTACCAGGATCAATTAAAATAAGTGATAGTGTACAGTCAGTATTTAAGAAATATGTATTAAAATGTATTAAAAATGTAAATAAATAAGCAATATATAGTTGTCTCACCGTTTAACGGCCACTTTTTAGGACCACTTTTAAAATTTAATTACATGTAATAAAAGAAACAATAGGTTATTTACAATAAAAAGTATCTGACCTGTACACTATTACAACTTTTAAAAAATTTATATTTAATGGAGCTCATAATAAATGTCATAAGAATAGAACAAACAAAAACAATGAAGTAATGATGGCAACACCCATTGGCAGGCAATTGGAAAATTTGTACACCTATATGTATGTACTATATTTTACATTAATAAAGCTGGCTCTCTTTGAGCTAGATGATAATTACATGGAATACAATATACAATTTAAGTTGTACATGGAGGAAATATGCACCCAAGGAAGGATAAACCACAAGTTACTACAGAAAATTATCCCTTAAAGTAGCACCATTAGATTATGTATTGAACTAATACAAAATTACAAATATATCTTTGTGTGTTTCTACCATATGAAAACACTAAATATTTTATTTGGACAGCCTGGGGTCGAAGATTCCCTGAGGTACGGCCTGTCCACACGCTCAGTTCCGTCCGCCCCAAAGCTGTCTTTATCAAAATTTTAATTTGAATATTATATTTAACATTTAAGTTCTACTCTGGCACCTGGGTTGGTAAAAAATTTAGACAGATTTCAATATTTTCATGTATAGTGTTGATTTCCCCTCTGACAGGTTATAGTTTTATGTTTTTATGTATAGAATTTCAATTATTACAGTAATTGAGGACACTTTGCCACTTATTCTCTTCAAAATTCAATTGTAGTACATTTCATATGTTCCTTAATAGTTGAACTAAGTATGATTATGGAGTAACACCAATAATAACCCAATATTTCAAGTAGTGGGAGGACAACTCCTACTTATACCAGAAATTTGCCTTTTCTAGCTATAATTCTTATTTTTCTCCTATCCTATTATCAAATATTACATTACACTTGTTAGAATTACATATTTATATTCTAAATAGATCATATTATAACCATTTGATCTTTTTGTGACCATTATTATCTATATCAAACAGCAAAATAGACACCATAAGTCCAAAATTGAGTTGCTTCCCTTGTACTATTATCTGAAAATTAGTGATTTAAATATTAAGTTTATGTGTCATAGGTAATTGGCCATATCTTCATCAATTTTCAATGAATTTTGATGGGATTTTCTTTATTATCTCATTAGAAGATTGCTCTTAATTATTATAGTGATGTGGCATTTGTAAATAAAGAACTTTACCTTTTGGGGGAGTTTATGTTAGTGAGATTTTCTTGTTTATTGTTAAATTATCTATTGACCACATATTTGATATGCTGTATAGGGAAATAACTGTAATTTTTTTAATAGACCATGAGTTGCTAATTAAGCATTTTTGGATGAACTAGCTATTAATCAAGGACTTGAGTTACCAATAAGCCATTAATAAAAATTAAATATTATTTTCTATATTTAATATTATCAAAACTATAAATCCATAAAAGGAACCGGTATCAGGGGACTGAGTATACAAACTGGGTCCAATTAACACCTATTGATAAATTAAAGTGAAGTAAACAAATAATGCAGTCTTTATATTAATGTCAGAGGGGAGGAAAGGCAGGATTTTACATTAAAGGCCAATCATGACTTCATATGTGAATATGACTGCTGGGATTAAGGTCACAGTTGTATTTGAACAAAAAATTAACAAACAACTCTAAAGCTTTAAAAATGTGTACCGAGTATTTCTTTGGTGGATTTAGTATATTTTGTGTGCTATATCCCAACCCTATAGCACCAAGTGCTGACCGCAGTTCATTTCTATGGTCCCTGAACTGGTCACACTCATGCAATAGGTGGGATATATTGTATCTCACTCCACAGTGGGCACAATTGGGGCTCATTTTCTTGATATATTGGCCAGAATCCCCTGGTAATAGGGTTGTGCCCAACCTCAGTCTTGTTATGGCCCTATCTATTTTAATATTATTTGAATATTGAATTGGGCGACTGAGCCCCACTGAGTTATTTATATGTTTTCTCTGATCATGGCAGGAATTGAAATCAGCCTGCCACAATTTAACTATATATTTTTTAATTTTGGAATATATCTCAGTGGGGGAGAGTGAGATTGATTCAGTGACATTGTTGAGGTTTAAGCCCATTTTGGCCGCCCTGTCTGCCTGTTCATTGCCTGAGATCCCTATATGTGCTGGACACCAAACTATGGTAACCTGTTTTCCTAGGTTTAGGACTTTATTATATAGAAGAATTATTTCGTTTAATAAATCTGGTCTCGACTGACTATTGTTGGATTTCAGTGAGATCAGTGATGAAAGTGAGTCAGAGAAGATGACAGCTTTTATTATATTACTGTCATGAATCCAGCACATAGCATTTCTAATAGCAAGGAGCTCGGCGGTATAGATGGATGTATTATTGGTTAACCTATCAATTTTTTCATATTGTATGGAAGGTATTACTACAGCCGAGGCAACCCTGCCAGAGTCCGGGTCCTTTGATCCATCCGTATAAATGTGTGTTTGACCTATATATTTATTAATTAATATTTTTGTTTCTGTATTTGCGAGATGTGGCAAATCAGATTTGTTCACTTTTTCTTGTAACGTGATGTCGACCTCAGGCAAGGTCAGGGTCCACGGCGGAACCTCCATGGGCCGCTTCTCAACAATGTTTGAATCCTTAATACCACAATCCTCCGCCAGGTCCTGCGTTGCAGCACCAAAGGGGAGGACTGGGTCTTTAAACCTATTTAGTGTATATTGGCCTTTTTCCCAGCAGTCCACGGACTGGGTTGTCTGCGGCAGAGGCTCGAACCCGGATATAATATTTTAGTGTTTGTGACTTCCTCCTTATCAGTGCCTTTTAACATCCTCATGACATTTAAATCCTTTTTACATCTGTTGACCAAATCATTGATATGCAGCCCGAATGTTAATTTTTCATCTAAAAGTAAACCTAGAAATCGGACCGTTTTAACAAAATTAATGGGTGTACCACCTAAATATACGTTCAAATTGTGCTTTTTTTGATTACCAAATACAATACTCACAGTTTTAGTTTTAGATATTTTAAAGCCCCATTTTTGTGCCCATCCCCTTAGAGAGTCCATGCCAGCTTGTGCATCCTTGGCTAGCTTAACCAAATTGGACCCAGATTTCCTGGTGCTGGAATCATCAGCAAACTGGCTAATGACCATACCAGAACCTGAGAGAGATTCTGGTAAGCCGTTAATAATAATAGAGAATAATAACGGCGAGAGGATCGAGCCCTGGGGTGTGCCACGCTCCACTGGCTCTGTATCAGACATTGAACCCTCAACTCAAACCGATAATTTTCCTGCCGTCTAGAAAAGACCTTAAATACTGGAAGCAGGCACCTGTCACACCATGTTCTTTTAACTTATATAAAATACCAAAGTGCCATGTAAGATCAAAAGCTGCTGTTAGGCCTAAAAAGATAGCTAGCACTGATCGTGATCTGTTTTTTAATAGGATCATGTCGTGTTGCAGTCGAGCAAGTTGGTCTAAAGTGCTCCTACCCTTTCTGAATCTAGACTGAAAGGGGTTAATAATGTTTTTTGATTCCAGCAGATATTCTAAACGGGCCTTAACCATTCCCTCAAGCATTTTCCCTGAGTGAGATGTAAGGCTAATAGGTCTATAAGATTTTGGTTCTGTTTTGTCTTTGCCATTTTTGTATATAGGTATGACACATGCCTCCTTCCAAGCATTGGGGTAAATCCCCTCAACCCACACCTTATTGTACAACCTGAGCCAGATGTCCAGCACCCCCCTTGGCAGGTGCTTGAACATCTGGAAGGTTATTCCATCCTTTCCCTCGGCGGAATCACGCCTTTTATTCAAACATGACCAAAATTCCGTGATAGTAAAAGGTAAATTTAAAGGCGTGTCATTTTCCCCCCGCTCATATATATTTTTGTTTTGTGACTCAAACTCTGCCTGGTATCTTAGGGTGTCTGGTAACATGTTTCAGTCACTGGAGACCTGTTTGTAGTGCTTTACTAGAAATTGAGCCTTTTCAAAGGGAGTTTTAGCATAATTTTGATTTAATTTTAATAATGGTACAGGATTTGTAGCAGAGCCTTTAATTCTTTTAATTTTCTGCCAAAACAATTTTGCACTACATTTCTGAGTGGACACTGACTCACAAAACTCTGACCAGTTTTCTTTTTTAGCTTGTAATATAGTATGTTTACAGTTGGCTTCTGCTACTTCATAAGTTGTTAAATTTCCAGGGCTTGGATTTTTTTTAAATTTGTTTATAGCTTTTTTTCTTTCCTGTACAGCTTTTTGACAATTTTCATTCCACCACGGGACAGACTAATGCCCACCTGCCCTGGGGGTGAAGGTCGGTATAGCCAGTCCAGCCATGTCCATTATTTTTCCTGTCAAATTAAAAACTGAGATAACGTCTGTTTTTGAATTAAATATTAACAATTTATTGGAAAATATACTTTAATCTTTATTTCATGCCAAACATGGGGTTTAATACGTGCTCTCTCATTGGTCGAGAGCACTTGTCTCCTATGTGGCCATTGGTCCATTTACTATCCGATTCTGACTTCAAGCTCAGGATTTTGACCTATGACCCCTTCAGGAATGTGGTATAAACAAAGTATTGTTTACAATTTGTGCTGTACACTGTGTATAGCATTTTGACTTTGTTTACATTTAAAATTTGATTTTTTAAGATATAAATAATAAAATACATTAAAAATGATTGCCACTTATCCTTATAGATACAATGTATATTGGTAACACAATTAAAGTCATTTATGGTTTATTATTTTGTTTGATTTGATTTGGGTTGAGAATTTTTAAGGGTATAATTTAGATTTAAATCAAAATATAAATTGCTGTTGGAATTTGCCTTGAAAACAGCCTGTAACGGGTATTTTCCCGAGGTACTGCCAGTCCACACGCTCAGGTCAACCCGCAACAAAACTATTATTTATCAAAAAGTGTTATAAAAAGTTGGGACTTATTGTTCAATGAATAGATATATATAAAATTTGGTAGACAAGGGAACCTGGAGTCAACCAGAGCTCCTTCCCGGCAACGTAAGACACTAGTATCCCCCCTCCCTGATGTAACAGGGCGCTGCCGGGGTGCCTGAGACAGTCTTTTGCCATCCACCCCCTGATGGAATGGGCCTGAAGGACAGCATAGGCTGTCTCTGAACCCCTGTCTTACCATAAACAGTTTTTTCTATTATTAATTTAAGGTAAGGTAAAGGTTAAAAGTCTGTTTGTTGTTTATTGCCATGTGGAGAGTAGATAACTCCTGTTATTTAGTTAATTTTAATAAAATTGGCTGAAGATTTTTTTAAATGGCGTATATTTACTAGTTGTTTGATGGTTTTATTCCGAAACACCCTTAAAAGTTAATATATCAATAAAATTTGGAACATTTTAATGTGTTTAGGTTAAATTTGTCTATTGAATTGTCAATAAAGTAAAAATATAGTATCAGATTATTAATTAAAGTTCTCTCCCTTGGACTGTTATTAGCCAATATATAGGAATTATTGTAAATCATTATGGAATTATATATCATAGGAAAATGGCTATAAATTTTTTATTTCTCAATGGATTTTGTTGGGGTTTTCTTCTTTTAGTCCATTAAATGTATCTGTTATTTCAAAAGTAGAGTTTATGATAGTTATCTTACTCTATCTTATTTCTTGGGGAGTTATATTTGTGTAAAATTATCAAATTTTGGAATATTTTGGTTTGATTTTGGAAAAGTTACCCATCATAGGAAAATTACTATATCTTTTTTAGTTTTTAATAAATTCTTTTGGGGTTTTCTTACTTTATTCAATCAGATATGTCTTTTAATAAATACAGTGGTTTAATTTTGATTAGTGAATTAGATTTCAGATCATAGAAGGTTAAGATTCATGTAAAAAAAAATTATTTTAGTACTTTGGTGTTAATTTTGTACTAATAACCTATTACAGGTAGATTGCTGTTATATTTTCATTTATTAGTCAATTTATTTAGGAATTTTTCTGTAAGTTTTGTGGATGTATCTATTAATAATTAAAGATGATTTGGGATGAGTTATCTACTCTATTACATTTTGTTTTGGGTATATTTAAATATGTTACTAAACAGGTGTCAAGGGACTAAAGTATGCAAACTGGGTCCCTATTAACCTGTTATTGTAAAGTTATATTACCATATAATTATGGTTTGTTACGGCACCATATGTAAAACGGCACCATTTGTAAAATGGTGCACCATATGTAAAAAAAAACGAAACCAAATACGAAATTTTTTGCCGTTTTGCCCTGCACCAAATGTCAGTATTTACGGTACCATATGTAAAATATTTTTTGATATGCACCATAAGTAAGAAAAGATGCACCATTCGTAAAATGCAAACAAAATCACTTGGAGTAATATATAGGGGTAATATTTTCTGTACTATAACAGTCTTATCATTATTATCACCATCATCATCAATTTAACAACGCTGACTGACGCCTTACCTACTGAGCTAACCAGTTATTTAATTAGATTAGTTGATAATATTAACCTAAAAGAAACATATCGTCTCCATTGTGTTTAACATACTTTTGTTTTTGAAATTATTGACAGTTTAGACATTGAATTTTTATCATAAAGTGATGTTTTTATTTCAATTTCTCAATAAGATATTGTTAACAAAGCATTCAAATTTCATATGTGCTAATACTTATCAAGTAAAAATAATTAGTTTTTTCTGTTTTTAGGGCGGGCCCTGCTTTTCCATGTCTTATACATGGATGTTTTCTGTTCGCATGTTCTAATTTGTGACGTTTGCAGGTCCTTAAGCTTATTGTTGCTATACACAATATATGTGCAGTCATACACAACAAAAGCCAGTAAGTACATGTAAGTTGCTATATGTACGGTAAAATCCACATTAGTCTTGAATATTAAATTAGAGGCAATTATCTTTTTTAACTATTTAAACGCGCAAGCGAAGCGAGTGCTTGTAAAATTGATGTTTAATAATGGTGCAGTGACATGCACTACAATATTTTAATTATTTTGCAATAATGATTATAAATGGTTTCAAAATATTTTTTGCAAAAGTAAATAAGACTTTTTTTGTTTTTTTTTATGAATAGATTATAAATCTTATTTTGGTGAGATATTGCTTATAAATAAGTTAAATCGTAGTTTATAAGCATTTATAAAGTATATTATGAAAAGAAGATATAAAAACGAGATAAAAAATAATGTGAATATGCGGTTTTCGTTGTTGAAAAAAGGAGTTTTATTGCACCATGTATATACAGTTGTAACATAGCACACTCATACTTCGATACACAAACGATATAGATCTGTGCGCGAGCGGAGTGCTTGAATTAAACACACTTCTTTGAGAAAAAACAGTTGGAAGACAATTACTCTATCTACAAAGTATCTTTTACAATAAAAAATAAAAATTTTTTTGCTCAGTAAAAAGGCACTGAATAGCATGACATTTGTAAATGTGAAAGTAAATATTCGAAAGTTGTATATATATATTTGTGTTTTGTAATGGAATAGAAACAAGCACTTTTTGCTAGAGTTTCCGTTTTAAGAGATGGATAGTTTACTCACAGAAAATGCAACAACAATGTTATCTTAGTTGTTAAAGACGTTTTTTTTTTTGTTGTTACATCTACATAAATGTGTTACTTTATTTCGCTTCAACTGCGTTTCTAAAGTTTTTGTTTCACGAGTTTATCTAAATTTATTTATGTTAATGTTTGGAGTCACAGTTTTGTTAGTTATTGCAATAAATTTAGAAGAAAGAAATTATATTTTTTGGTTTTCAATAAAAAAAAATGATGGAAATCTGCTGTTGCTGGAAAACGGCAAAAAATTTTGTATTTGGTTTCGTTTTTTGACATATGGTGCACCATTTTACAAATGGTGCCGTTTTACATATGGTGCCGTAACAATGGTTATATATAATTTGGTAATATATCTAAGTTATTTGATTATGGTTATATATATTTTGATTAAATAATTGTGTTACCTGAGGGGGACACGGGCACATTTCAAGTTGATTTCTTAAATTTTATCTGTTAATTTACACTCTAGGATAAATATCTCTAGAGCCCCATATACATAATTATGATGTTGTTTTGGGGGATTTAAAATATATTTTTTGTAGTAAATCCAAGCCCCACTGATCCAATGCGACCCACCAATTCTTGCCGCTGGGCTGCAAATTGGGGACATTCGATCAGTAGGTGGTCAGAACCATATCTCACTCCACATTGTGGGCAGGTCGGGTCAATTTT